AACCAAAGTCATGAAGACATCCTTTTATATCTTGTTATAGAAACTACAGAACTTTTGCCATTTAAACCTGAAATCTGTGTGGAAATGATTAATTTGATTTATGTGTGACTTGGTGAAAGGGTCAGAATTGTTATAAAGTGAAGATATCCATTTCTCTATCAGATTTTCCATGAAGCTGTTATTTGTGGAATTGTGATGCTATCTTTATTTAGTTCTTTACTTAGGGCTTATATAAGTCTATTTCTGGATTTTCTTTCGGTTTCTCTGGTCTGTTTGTTTCTGTTACACTAGTTCAATTATTGCAACTGTATTTGAATAAGTCTTGAAATCTAATAGTTTACTGAGAAATTCTACTAATTCTCCTTCAAATCTGTCCTAATTATTCATAGCCTGCATTTTCATAATAATTTTAGGAGTTTTACACAAATCCACACATCTTGTTAGGATTTTTATTAGAATTTGATTAAATGTTAGTATACAGGCAAATTATCTACAGTAAGAACTGACTGCTCAAAAATATTGGGTCTTATAATTCACGAGCATGGCTTGATTCCACTTATTTTTTAAAACCATATACTATATTTTGGAATTTTGCAGATTTTTTTCTGTTTTTCAGCATAGAGTTTTTAACATATATCCTTAGATTTCATTCTCATATATAAATTTGATGTTATTATATTTATTTTGAAGTAAATCTTAATATTTTTGACACTATAGATTTACAATATATATTTAATACTAAAATTAGTTTCAGTTTCCTCTCATGTAGCTTCTTCCTCCTCTAATAATCTCAGCTCTGGGTGCTGTGACTTCTATGCAGGGAGAAGAGGGTTTAGGGGTAAGTCTTCAGGGCTGACCCACCATGGCCTCATCTGTGCCACAACTATAGCTGGGTCCTTGATGCTGCACCTGTGATCTTGGTCACACTTTTTCCCACAGTGCCCTTCACTAATGAGGCCTGCCACTTCTCTAACCATTTGAAGCCAATTCTGAGTTCTACCTCTTCCTAAGACATTCCTAACAAAATTGCAGATTGTGGTAAGGAAGGGGCAAAGTTGATACTGGTTTGAAATGGTTCTTACTGGACTTCTGTGTCCTGAGGGGTCATTATGGTCTGAGAATTCATATCAGGGCCTGAACATTCTGAATCTTAGTGGATTGAACCCACCCAAGCCATCCGTATCTTAGACAAACATAGCTTTTCAGAAATGAGTGCACACCCAGGTGATCGTAGTGAGACCATGCAGGGAAGGGAAGGAAAACCAGAGTGGTCAATGAGTTTCAAATACACCTTTATTCCTAGTTATTATTTTTGTCCCATTGTATCCTTTTTGTATTTAAATTCTACAGCCGCTTTTGTATTAATCTGTATGATCGCATTGTTTTTCTTTTTTATTTTCTTCTTTGGCGTGCTTGCTTTTTTTGCTCTTTTGAGATAGGGTGTCCCTGCAGCCCAACCTGGCTTGAAACTCAATATGTAGACCAGGCTGGCGGTGATCTCACATAGATCCACTTGTCTCTACTTCGTGAGTGCTCGGATTAAAGGCATGCATTACCATGATCAACATTTATTTCCTTATATAGTAAAATGCAGTGAGTTTTCCTGGAAATGTTAAAGCAAATTTACATAGTAGGAACCAATGGTATAATATATGAAATTCATTTTTCTAATAGTTTATTTGCAATGTATGCATTTGTAAGAGAAATGCTGCCCCATTGTTTTCCCTCATTTTAGTGTTTGTCCTTCTTTGATGTCAAGGTTACATTGTTTCATTCAAACAAGTAGACTGTCTGATCTTTTGTTTAATCCTAGACATGAAAAATTTTGCATGATATTGTCATTCCTTTTGCTGATATGTGAGGAATAATGCACACATATAAGCCATCTGGTTCTATACTTTTAATTTTGTCTTTAACTATTGTGAATTTTGTTATTGAATTCATTTGTTAAAAATTGAATTTTTGATGTTTCTATTTTGCATTTCCATAAGTTATATGCTTAGATATTTAACTATTTCCCCTACCCATTTTCAAATTTGTTGGTATAGAATGCTTCATAAGATACTCTTACTACTTAATAATGAAAATATTAGCAATGATATTCCCTTTGTAGTCCTACTACAAGGTGTGATTTTTATAATTTTTCTTTTTATATTTGTCTCTTTATATTAATTATTCTTTCTAGGATTATCAATCACATAAATCTTTTACAAAGAAACATAATTGTTTATGTAGATTTTCTCTATGGAACATTTGAGATCATCACTGTTATCTTTAT